TTTCTCTCCCAAACTCTGGATCCAGGCACAGCTGTCCTGAGGTAGGTCTCTGTAGATAGCACTTTCCTGGCTATCATCTAAACTCCTGCCTGCTCAGCTCCAGGTACCACCACCTCTGGTCCCCAGCCAGGTTGTCTCTTCCTTACTGCGAGTCTCTCCCTGGTCATCCACAGGTGCGCCTCAGCTCCTAGCCCCACATACAGCCCCTCTGTGCCCGTCCCATTTTCTGGACAGCACCCTATCTTACTCCTTGCCCCCTCACAGGCTCATCACATAGCCTCTTCATTCTATACCAAGTTTGCTCCCCTGGCCCCAAGAAACTGCCCTCCCTGTTCCCTCCAGGGACCAGCTAGGCACCCCTCCCTCCTCTGAACAGCCAGCAGGCATGTGGTCACATGGACTTCCGAGTTGGGCCCCAGGCTGGGTGCACAGGGAAGCAAGAGGGAGCCCTCACCTCCCTGACCCTACATACACAGTCCCCATGACAGCAGCCTCTCCAGAATGCCACTTTAAAGCAGTGCCAGGGCAGCCTCCTCAGCCAGGGCCCCCACAAGGGCCCCAGATAAGACTCTAGTAACTAATCACCTGTATCCTGTCTCCCCACACAGTCAGGAATATGGGGGCCAACCAATGAAGACCTGTGGAGGCAGCCTCCATGTGCAGGGGCAAGAGAGTGTGCTGTCACATGTCAAGAAACCAGGTTCTCCTCAGACCAAGAAAGATCCTGAATATATAAAGAACTCTTATGACTCAACAACAAAAAGAGAAACTCAACCAAAAATTGGGCAAAGGAATGGAATAGATATTTCTCCAAAGACACACAGATGCCCAAAAAGTTCATGAAAAGATGTTACCTCACCAGTCACCAGGGATGTGCAAATAAAAACCACAGCAAGAAAGCGGTCACACCCACCAGAATGGTGAGAATAAAAATAATTAAAAATTATAAAACCAGGGAATAACAATCACTGATGAGGATGTGGGGAAATTGGATGGAGCCTTTGTGCACTGCAGGTGGGAATGTAAAATGGTGCCCCCACTATGGAAAACAGTTTGGTGGTTCCTCAAAATATTAAATGTAGAATTATCATATGACCCAATAATTCCACAGAAGAATTAAAAACATACGCCCACAAAAAAAAAAAAAAAAAAAAAAAAAAAAAAACGTGTATACTAATGGTCACAGCAGCATTACCCACAATAGCCAAAAGCTGGGAACAGCCCCAATATCAACTGAATGGATAAGAAAAACTACATGTGTCCATTCAACTGAATATTTTCAGTCACAAAAAGGAACAAAGTACTGACACACACTGTAGCATGGATGAATACTGAAAATGATATGTGCTGTGAAATAAGCCAGACACAAAAGGCCACATATTGTATGATTCCATTTCTATGAAACATCCAGAACAGGCAAATCCAGAAACAGAAAGTGGATTAGTGGTTGCCAGGGGCTGGGGTGGGGCAGTGGGATATGAGGTTTCTGGAATGATGAAAATATTCTGGAATTAGATAGGGTGCTGGCTGCATAGTCTTGTGGATGAACTAAAAACCACTGAACTATCTGGTATAATAGGGTGACTTTACAGGACATAAGTTACATTTCAATAACAAAAAGAGCCTCATATCCACTTGCCCCCCCCCCCAACCCCATTCATAGTAGTCCAAAGCACCTTAGCTGCCTTTCAGACCTGCTCCAAGTATCCCTCACATGCCAATGCCTGGCTGGGGGAGCCCCTGGTGCCATACCTGGTACTGCCTCCTCCATGCAGGCCTCCAAGCAGAGAGGTAGGATCAGCCTGCAGACCTCACACCAGGGCTCCACTCTCCCAAGCCACCCTATAAATGCTTCCTGCAGAATGTGGAGTGGGGGTCAGGGTTCATGACACCCCTTCCTACTTCTTTTGAAGAATAACCACATTAGAAGCCACAAGTCTTGGTGCACCTGGGGCACTCCTGTGATGCAGGTCTAGCAACCTCCCTGGAGGCCTCTGTTGGGGGCTACCTAAGCATGTACCTGATCTCTAAGAAAATGGAAGTAAGGTGCCTGGGAGCCAGGCATGGTTCCCAACAAGTCCCAGACCCAGCTCATGGCTCCCCACTCAGAAAGTGGCAGGGCCCTTGCCCTGGGGTCTGGGGAATCCCTTCCTGAACAGGTTTCAGCACAAACCCAAAGATAAGGCCAGGAAAGAGGCCAGATGCTGGCGAGCCCCCCACCCACCCACCCAAAACTTTCAGCCCAGCCAAGTCCATGAGTGTGTATCCCCAAATCACCAAGAGACCCAGGGTAGCTCTCCTACTGGGAGCCAGGCTCCCCCCTCCTTCCAAGATGGCATCCAGCCAAGGGGTCTAGGCCTCCTAGGACAGGCATCTCTGCAGTCCCAAGAGAACCAGGTGGAAATGCCACCTGCTAATCATTCCAGAAAAAAAGAGTCAGGCCCATGGGGAAGAGAGAAGTGCCAGTGGGCAGCCTGGAAGGTCCCGCCTAGTGGCCAGAGGAGGGCAGCAGGAGCAGGGCAGCAGCTCATGGGTTGGGTTGCAGCCTCAAGGAGGGGGCAGGGAGGACTCCCACCACCCACGTGACCCTCCCCCAGGCCAGCCTCTCTGGGTTTCTGAGCTGTAACTGGAGCTGCCCTGACTGTGAGCCTCGGTGCCAGGCAGAGATTTCGGAGAGGGGGAAGGGATAAGAGGGCCTGGATCAGGTCCTTCCCTCCTGCTCCCTCTGCCCTGTGCACCACACAGAGAGGCCCCCTGAATCCAGCCGAATCCTGCCTCCCTTGGGCCATCTCCTCCTCCCTCTCCCTGTAGTTTCTGCCCCTTTGCTGGGCCATGAGAAAGGACCCTAGACCTGGGTATAGCAGGTCACTGTGGACCAGAGAGGCAGGGCCTCAATACACAGTAGCATAATGTGTTGACCTCTCTCCTCTCACTCCTGACCCCACCTCAGGAATCAATTCTGTCTTGACATTGTCCTGAGGTGTGCGCTGTGTGTGGATCCATTCAGTACCTGGTCCCTTCCCTCTTCTGCCTATCCGGCTGGTGCTGGGCCTGCTGCCCTTACCCTCCAAGTCCACCAAATAGAGTCCTGGCTCTCTTGCCTGGTGTCAGGGCTGGCAAGTGCCTCCAGCAGAACTAGCTGTTACCAGGGCAGCACATCTGCCTCCTATGCTCCACAGGAGCCTCACTTGATGGGAGGCCTTTGAGACCAAGAAGCAGGGCCAAGTCAGCTGGCTGGAGGAGCCATGGGGTGCCAAGCTTTCACCAGATGCCACGTGCCCACCAGGACTTTTCACTGAGAGGGAGCTAAAAAACACACACTAACAGCTCAAAGACTTTGCCAGAGATGCAGAGTACAGGGAAATCAGGGAAACAGGGATGCTGCCTGTGGGAGTGGGGTGGGGGAGCAGCTGGGAGTCAAGACCCCAACCTCCCCCTGAACTGATCATCTCCAGGAGGGGTAGGACAGCAGCAGAGACTCTAGGGAAAGCGCAGCTGGAGCAGACAAGCCCAGCAGACAAACCCTGGGGTGTGTCTGGAGTCTGGGAAACAGACCTGTGGTTGGGCCAGGACAGCAAGAAGGCACAGCTGGCTGACAGGCGGGTATGACTCACCCGTGGACCTGTGGCCAGACGGCCATCCTCCGACCCTCCCTCTGCCCTCATGGGTGAGGTGAAGGCTGCACAGATGGCGTGCAGGGGCGTGCCAGCCTCCACACAGCCGGGGCCCCAGGCAGAGCCAGACCCACAGGCATCCAGGAGAGGGTCTTAGGGTGGGAACTCCAGGTAAGACACAGAGCTGACCCCGGAAGATAACCCAGGAGAAAGGAACAGAAGAAGAAAAGGTTGGGGGCGGGGGGAGTAGAAAAACACAAAGGAAAAGTTTCCCATGAAAATATTTTATTTTCTTTGAGAACAGGATACACCTGCAGGGCTTCTTGCCCAGTTGGCCTCTCTCCGCCCTGGCGGCGCCACATTTCTGGACCAACAGGGCCCTCTGCCGGCCAGGCTGCTGCCGGCCAGCCCGGGGGGCCAGGGGCTAGGATACAGGTGAAGGGTGAAGGGCGGCGGGCTTCGGCCCGCGCTGGGCCGAAGGGTACCTCAGAGAGGGACCAGGACCAAAGAGTAAGCTGTGACTTGAAGGTCGGCGTGAAGTGGGAAGTGGGGAGGCTGAGAAGAGCCAGAAAATTGCCCTATCAGTGCCACCCCAAACTTAAGTACCCATATGTGTATTGCAGCGAGAGTCCCCAAAGGTCGCTGGGTTGGATATCCCAGATCTGAGATGGAGGATCGAGGAAGGGCAGGAAGGAACGGCGGAGAGGGACGCTCGGAAACCACTCACACTACTGCTGCGGAGAAGCGCACGGAGCAACGACCCCCAAGACGGCGCTCGACGGCTTCACGGTCCCGCTGGGCCCTGCGCTCGGGTCGGGTCCCACAGACGCGCTCCCGCCAGTCGGGGCCGAGCGAGCCTCAGAAGCAAAGCGCAAGAAAAATAAATTCCTCCGGCTCGGAGTTATTTTTTTTCCTTTGGGGCTCAGTGCAAGGAACATCTGGATTTTGTACGTATTTTTTTGTTGTTGTTAAATTAACTTCTCGAGGGGAGAAAGGAGGGGTAAGCTGCAAGGGGGGTGGGTGGGCAGGGGCTGGGAGGTTCCAGCCGTTTGGCAAGAACTCGGCGGCCTAAGGAAGCCGGGACCACATCTTGGTTCCCGAGCTCCAGGGAGCCCAGCGCTCAGCTGTGGCCGCCGCTACGACTCCAGAGTCACAGAGGACAGCAGCCTCACGCCAGCCCGTCAGGTACGCGGGCCCCTGTCGCCGCGCATCGGGGACACGGACTCGCGGACCCAACGACGCGCGCGCCGCAAACAAACAGCTCCAGGCAACCCTGCAGCCCCCTCCAGCCAAGCCCCGCGCACCTGGTCGCCCCCGCCTCCGCCCCCGCCCCCGCCCCGGGCCTGCCTGCCGGCCGGCCCGCCCGCCGGGCCGCCGGGCACCTACCCGAAGTAAGCGGCCGAGGGACGCAGCGCAGCTAGCAGCAGCGTCAGCGCGAAGGCCACGGCCAGCCAGCGCGCCAACAGGGGCCCATCCAGCATCTTGCCGCGCCACGGCGGCTGACCATCGCGCTCCTGGCCCCGCGCAGGGTGCCCCGCGGCCGCCGCCCTCTTATAGCGCCCGGAGCACCAGGCCGGGGGCGGGGCCGCCAGCTGGGTCCGGCCCGCCCCGCCCGGGGAGGGGTCACGCCGGCGCCGGGGGCGGAGCGAAACCCGAGCCCGTCAGTCCGCTGCACCGCCTGCTGGCCCCTCGAGCTTCGGGGCGCGCCCGGCGCTTGGGGAGGGGAGGCTTGCGAGGGGCGGTAGGACCTCGGGGACCGGCGGGAGGGGCGGGAGCGCGCAGAGGGCCGAGAGAGGGAACGCGCTCTCCGGCGACCGTGGAGGCGGAGCGGAGGGAAGCGTGGGGGGCCCCGGGACTAGACTCAGGAGGGGCGAGTACTGGGTGGACGCCGGGCTTCGGGTGGGGTGGGAACAGGGGGTGGGGTCGTCGGGGGATCTGTAGGGAGAACTCGGGGCAGCGGTGGTGGCAGGGTGGGCTGGAGCGGGCCCGGGGATTGGTGCTGCTGGAGACCCGGTGTCAGCCCTAGCTGAATTGAGCCTGTCCGCTCCCCGGGGTGTTTGGAGGAAAGGGAGCCGGACAGCAGGCGATGTCCGCGCCCTTGGAGAAATCTGACCGCTCAGGAAGCAAGGGGCAGGGTTGGAGGCGCTGTGGGTCTGGGACTGAGGCTACTTGGCCAGCTCAGAGCCGGGCCTAGGAGCTCAAGCTTTGAGATCTCTGTCTCTCGATCCTTAAATGGAAGATAATGTAGAGGCTAAGGTCATAGCCACTGCTGATATATACTCTGGCGACCCCTTTCTCAGAGCCTCTGTATAGGGGAGACTGGAAGAAGGAAGCTCCAGGGGATGGGAAGGCCTGGAGTGGATAGAAGCAGAAAGGAGAGGAGATGGAGCCACTTTTGAAGCAAATCCTGTCAGAGACCCCAAAATCAAAATTAAAACAGATAAATTAGCAGACACAAGATGGGGATGTGGCATCAAGGAGAATCTTTACAAGCCTCGTGGGCCAGGGGCTCTCCCGGTCAGCAGCCACACAGGGGAGGAGAGCATGGTCCTTGAGTCCCACTAGGCTGCACTGGATGCCCACACAATGTTGGCAGCCTTTAGATGACACTGAAAGCCCTGTGGGCTGTCCAGGCCACCCTGTGAGGGGCCCAGAGACTGGGTCAGCAGGGCACAATACAGCTTCCTATCAGTATCTGAACATGGAGGACCTGCTTTCAGGCCCAGTGCCCTCATTTGTGGGCTCTGAGAACCTATCCTCAGTGACCTGTCTCTGGACAGTGCTGAAAGGCAAAGTAAGGGGGCATAAAATGCACTCCTACAATGGTTCTGGAGCAAGACACCATTCAGCTCCTGCCTCTCTAGAAAGGCTACTCAGGTGAGCATGCCTTGTCATCCTGGGGAGCTCCTGGTGCATGGCTGGGTGAGGGGTAAGCAGGAAGGAGTTGAGACATAGGCAAATCACTTTCTCTCTGGGCCTGTTTCCCCTCCTCCTGAGACCCATCAATCTCCAGGGAGCTGTGGCTCTTTCTAAGTTGTGATATCATGTTGTGGAAGCCCCACCACGGCTCTGCCTCTCCATGGGTGTGACAGCCTCATGTCATTCCTCACTCCAGGAACCTTCCTGTGGGAGCGGGCTCTCCCTTGCCCATTTGTTCACCTCACCAACACACTGGTGCAGCAGAGAAAGCTTCAGCCCAGCCAGGCTGCAAGCCTGGGGGCACTCTGCCTTCCTCACCACAGTGGGCACAGCCCCCAGCGCCTCTACCTGAAGGACTGGCCCTCATACCCGGGAAGTGTGAGGCATGGTGTGGGGGGCACAGAGTGATGACATGTTTAAAAGCACTGAGATTTTGTCCAAAAAAAAGTGAAGTGTGAGATTGTAAATTTGTGACTGGAAGGCATTGCTGGTGTTACAGCTCCCTTCCTTGGGAGCGCAGGGTTCTTGTTAGCTGCCCAGTGAGTATGAGGAAGGAGGCAGCTGCCCAAGGCCCAGCCTGGGACCCATGGGCAGCAGCTGGCACAAGGAGTCTGGAAAGACGAGCACCTCATATGGACTCTGGAAAGGGAAGGCCACCATGGTCCTGTCAGGTATCCAGCCCTAAGCAGCCCCACTGTACCCCATTTGAAACCCCAGATATCAGCAGGGGATGGGTTCCAAGAGACCCCTTCAGATGGGGAGGGGACAAGGCCTACATAAGAACTACGTTTTACCAGGCCACATGGTGAGGGGCAGTGCCCAATGCAGATGATGTTGGATACACTTGAGTTCTATGAAAGGCTGTCCCAGCCCCAGCCCCAGCCCCTGCCCCTGCCCCTGGGAGATGGCAGCAGATGGAGGTGGTACCACCAGCTACCCCCACCTCAGCTGGACCTTGAACACAGGCTCCCCGCTCCCAGGCAGGGTGAGGCAGTCAAGCCTTGAACCTTGCTCCCAGTCCTGGCTGCCTTGCCCTGTCCCTGCCTGTATTCCTACCTCCCCACAGTCGCTGGGGGTTAGTGGGCTTCCTAAATTGCAGGGAGAGTCAAGGTGGCCTTCAAGGCACCTGTGGAGTCCAGCCCTCTCCAGAGGAGACCTAGGTGCTCCTACCTCTATGCCTGAGTTCCTGCCTCCTCCAAACCTGACCCAGGTTTGCTAACTCTGGTCACCTGTAATACCTTCCCTGACTACTACACTTCTGTCCAGGCTGAAGAAGGAAAGTGAATTCATGGGGAACAGCCATTGACAGACCAGCAAATGCCAGTTGACCCTGGATGGTAAAGTGAGGCCCAGAGAACTCCTGCTGAAGGGCACAGGGTGAGCTAGGGGACAAATGCCTGAACCTAGCTTCCTGCTTTCCCAGTTTAGTCACCTCACAGATTATCTCGTTGGCCTCAGGCACAGCATGAGGAGCATTGTTTTTCCAGAGGGCAGACCACTCTCACCCAGCATGATGTGCTCTGGTTTCTACTTTGGAGAAGCTGAGCTTCGGGCTTCTTTCATTCCTGTGGCCACCAGGCCTACCTGGCAAAGACTAGCTGGCCAGAAGAGGACACCCAGAGTCAGGGACAGCATAAGTTGTCACTGGTTCAGGGGCTGCAGCTGCCCTTCACAGAGCAAGGCAGACAAGGAACTGTTCAAGCTGGGCTAGGTTTGTCTCCACCCTGAACACTTGCCTAACAAGAATTAGAACATGCACAGCCCCAATAGGGCTACATGAGTGCCACTGAGGGGTATGTGCTCTGAAGCAGAGCCCACTCAAGGAGGGAAAGCATAAAGGCAGCGAGCCGTGAATGCTCGCCGAAACTGGCGCTTTTGCAAACGTCCAGCTTCATGAGGCCTCAGCCCTGTGAACTGCCAGGATCAGCACAGCAAAAGGTCCTGAGTGTGCTGACACAGGGAAGGGCCACCTAGCCATGCAGAGGCTGCCAAGACCTCATCAAACAGCAAAGTCAGGGGTAGCTACCATGACCCCAGGCTAGATGAGAGCAAGCCACCCAACATATTTAAGGCACCATCTGGTGCAGTGGTGAGGCTTCAGCTGTCCATTCAGAGACCTCCTCAGTCCCCTCCTCCCTGGGACAGAGACAGAGAGACAGGAAGAGAGAAGGAGACAGGATAGGAGGCCTGCCTTCCCAGATGGCTGGGGAGGCCATATTGCCAGGTTGCTGCCCGGGAGGGGGAGCACTTCTCTCGGGTGGTCTGGGAGAATGGGTGAACAGTCGCTTATCAGGAAATATTGCCTAATTGGGAAGGTTTATGGTGCCAGGCAGGGGGTCTCCCTAGGGAAGACAGCAAAAGCCATTCATGAGTCATTTGAAACTGCACCAGACAAAGAGCTCAAGGAGAAATGATCCCACCCAGGCTGCCAGTCCTGGGCAAAATGAGCTCATGGGCTGTGGAGCATGCGTGCATGTGTGTGTGGTGTGTGGCAGGGTGGGGTGGGGAAAGGGGAGAACATTGGTGTTCACACAGCTGGGACTGGGAAGTGGAGCCCAGCAGGGCCTTCACCATAGCCCTCTCCCTGCATGACCAGGCTGCCCTCTTCAGGTCGGCAAAGGAAGGGCCCAGCATCCAGTCCAGCATCCTGGTCAGCATCCAGCCCAGCATTGTCATTCAGCATCCTGGTCCAGCATGCACACACCCTCTGGGCAATGCCGAGCACAGGACCTTTCTTGGGACAGAGGCCAAATAGATATGGAGGTTATTCTTCACAGTGGGACACCATCTGTTCATACCATCTTGTACTCTGTGAGATATGTACTGGAGACTTGGATGTATGATACACATTTTTTAACGTATTTCAATATTTTTATAATTTGTTTTTTTTATCCTCACCCGAGGATATTTTTCCATTTTTTTGTACAGATAGAGTGGGAGGGAGAGAGAGGAAGGGAGAGAGAGACAGAAACATCGACGTGAAGGGACACATCGAGTGGCTGCCACCGGCACAACCAACCAGGGCCGGGCACAAACTGCAACCGAAGTACATGCCCTTAGCGGGAACCGAACCCGGGTCTCTCCGGACCGCAGGCCGACGCTCTAACCGCTGAGCCAAACCGACCAGGGCGTATTTCAATATTTTTAAAACATTGTTTTGAGAAAACTGTAGATTCACATGCAGTTGTAAAAAAAAAAATACCCTTCACCACCTTCCCCCAGTGGTTGCATCTTGCAAAACCCTAGGACAATATGCCAGGAAACTGACATTAACATAGTGCATTTAGCTTGCTACATGCACTCATCTGTGTGCGCATGTGTTTAATTCTGTGCACTTTTACCACACGTGGAGGTTCGTGTGTCTGCCACCACAGTCATATTGAACATTCCTCATACTACTCCCCCTACACTAATCTGCTATTACTTGTGTGTTCAAAAATGCTATATACCTGGAATCATATAGTATGTAACCTTCTGGAATTAGCTTTTGTACTGAGCATAATTCCCTGGAGATTCACCCAGGTTGTCAAGTATATCCACAGTTCCTGTTTATTGTTGCATAGGAATTCATTGTATGGATATCCCACAGTGTGTTTAACCAGTCACCCATTGAAAGACATCTGGGTTGCATCCAGTTTCTGG